GGGGAGGTGGGGCAAGGGGACGGCGAGGGGAGGGGGGCAACGGGGCGAGGGGAGGTGGGGCTCGGCATTACTAACAATTTTTTTTATTTTTTTTCAAAACAACTAATGACGCACTCTGTGGCTGGTGCGCCATTACTAGCTAGAAATATTAATGGCGCACTTTGCCTGGATGCGCCATTAGTATGTTTGGAAAAATAAAAAAAATGTTCCTAGTGGCGCACCTTGTGTCTGGTGCGCCATTAGTGTCTTCCACACTAATGGCGCATCACCACATGGTGCGCCATTAGTATATAATAGTGGCGCACCACTTCTTTGGTGCGCCATTAGTGTCAATTTCATCTATAGCCCTTTTCCTAGTAATGTCAGATCGTCGGTGGTGAGACGGGTCGTCGGATCCATGCGTGTGGATCGTTTTTACTCTTTCGTAGTCTAGATTATTAGGTTGTTCATCGTCTTGGCTTCGGCGATAACGATGACAGCGCTGAATAAGGATTCTTCGGGTCCTTTCCTGACAAGGCCATCGATCCTATGATTGGGGATGGATTTGGAAACCAGTCTGTTCAAGTAAGGATGGCGTGGCGGAGGCGGCATCCTCGTGGTGGACCTGTATCCTCGGGCTCCGTTGTTGCGATGGTGTTTGCTCCAGCGTCGGCGTGGAGCTTGGGAGGTAGTCCAGGAGCGGATGCAGATTATGGTCTGCATCGACGACATCTGAAAGACGGAACGTGTGCCGGGTTCGTGGTTCGTGGATGGCAGATATGGTTTCCTCCTTCGGCGTCTTAGTCGTGGTGGGGTGTCAGATCTGGAGTTTGATGGCGTGTCCGGGGTATTATCTGGATCTGATTCGTTCAACGACAAGGGCTTCATTTTTGATGAGCCACCTTGGAAGTCCGCAAAGCTGCATATCAGTGATGGAGCTGCCTCGAGTTCGGGTGAGGAGCTGATCTGTCATTCTTTTTTTCAGTGGCTGCTATGGCGATGCCGGAGGCTGGTGATGGGTGTTGGTATCAAATTTAGAAATGTTTTGTTAATTTTTCAGTTTTATTATGTCAGTCCTTACGTGACTTGTACTTTAATCTTTATACTTTATAATATAATGAATGAGACATGTACCAAACCATGGACACACCGGCCGGGAGTGCTCTCCGGTTTAGGACCATGCGGCGACGGCGAGGTGCTGGCGTACATTGTTCCGCCAGATAGAGATGGTGGCCGTCGCTCCAATGCCGGGCATGCATGGACTGGACGGGACACCGCCGACGGCTTCAGCAGCATCAATGAAGGTGTTCGACCAGGGTCAGCCGGCGTGGTCGACGAGGACATGATGGTCTTGGACCACGTACGCCATGGGGTTTGCGCTCAATGCCAAGTCAGGCCTCTTCCAATGTTTCATCTTGTATAAGTGCTAAGCTTTTCACGTAGGCAAAAAATTTAATGTGGCAAGTTATTTAAGAGGAGAGAGATGAGTGTGGTGACCTCAGAAAAAAAACAATGCTAAACACGTGAATCTAGGCAAAACTTTAAAAAAAAGTCCACCAATACATGAAGAGTTTTAGTTGCTAAATCATTAAATGAAGTAAGCTTAGCAACCATAAGCTAAGCACCTATGCATTGGTGAGTATAGTTGTTAAGCTATTTAATGTGCTTAGCACCTCATCTAAGCACCCATGCATTGGCAGCAGCCTCAGGGTGGCCACTCTCTTGTGTACATCTGGTTGGTGATAAAAAATGCTGAGGGATCAATAACACCTCGTAATGAGCGACCAAGAACGTGCGTGTGTTTGCATGTCTCCGTTCGCATGGCAGGCCACGGTGGCTGCGCGGACAGGTTGGATAAGGCGGAGGTGCATTATCTTGGCATACGCCAATCTAACTCTGTCTCACTCCACATCATGCAACTTGCTTACAGTGACACCGACGTACACAGACAGACACTCTAAAATTCCAATTTCATTGGCTGGCGCCGATGTTGACGTTGATGGTATACCAATTGGGAGGATCTGACAGGCGCCGATGTTGATGGATCGTGGATCCCCCTTGATAGATATCGTACCAGCTACTGAACCTCAGATTTTCAGCCTCCTTCAGGCATGAGTCAATGGATGTACACTGCAGATCAGTGAACAACTGAACACAGACACAAGGCTGACCAATTTGAACAAGTCTCATTTCTTGAAACTACTTACATATCACATCTGCACTTGTTGTTTATAATCTACATAATGACCTGGAGTATACATAATTAACCACAGCCAAGCTTCTACAACACAAATTAATCCCATGGTAGAATTAAATGTTAGTGCTAATAAGAAGCTTATCACCAACAAATCAAATACTAGTACTCCTCAAGTCAAATATTTCCTCATAAACCGAATTAGAACTACCATGTATAATCGCAGCCGCGTTTTGATAACTGACTCGCATGAATCAAGACTAGCGCCTTTCGGTACCTTAACCAGCGCCAAACTCTGAACTTATGTTCAGGAAAGCAAATCAATGCAAACTCTAGTGTACAATGCAGTACAAACTTGCCAACTTAGCATAATACTGCATCGGCAGGTCATATCAGCACAAAAATTCTCCCGGATGACTCGTAGGCCAGTGTCACCACTTTTGTGAAAAATATTTGAAGACCGCTTAGTTGAAGGAGCTTCTTTCTTCTGTTCGACTGATGCCTTCTTTGCCTCTCCTCTGCAGCTTCACAATCTCCTCCTTTTGTTGGTTGTGCCTCTGCCTCTCTCCTCTCTGCAGCCTCCGCTTAGACACAGAGAGATATTCAGAAAATGCAGTTACAGAGATACATGGCCAGAGCAGATACATATAGACAGAAACAAAACTGCTCCAAGTCATTGGAACATTGTGCTGACACCATCAGGCATATTATACAGTAAAAGGATTAGGCAAAAAAAGAAAGATTACTAACTAAGATGACTGGATGGTGGACGCTTCAGTTTACGGCGACGTAAGTGCAGAGCAGTCGGTTAACTGTTGAAGACTATTCAGTAGGACTACAGAAACCATCAGCCGATCTTTCTACAGAGCTGTACAAAAGATAAGAAATGTAGATACGAATAAGCTTCATTTCCCTTTCTTCTTTTTTGAAAAAATTGTACCTATGGAAATGGCAGGCGTCGTCGACATTGATGACGCTCCAATTGGAGGTGGCGGTCAGACTCAAACTGCAACCAGCTCATGTTTTTATTTGTTTGAAAAGGAGGTTGAAACCACGTCATGTAGTATGTCATGGCCAAGGGCGACAAGACGGCACAAGAGCATGACTTGGTCAAGCATGCACAGGTGGACACCCATGTAAATGACAAGACGGGCCCAGCGGGCTGACGTGCTGCTCTTTGACTTGTTGTGGTCAGGTGTTCAGCACTGAGCCAATGTAAAGAGTGAGTGGAGAGTGGGTAGCGTTGGCAACAAGAGAAAACTTTCCCCTGCTTCCTCCCTGTACAACCCTGAATCCTTGTATCTGAAACCACCGGATCTGAACTATTCCGGTAGACATCACATTACTGAACTCACAGAAGAAAATTCTTAACGACCTTTGCAAACAATTAATTATCTAAAACTGTTCGTTGCGTAGCTAAGCAAACATGAGATGACATGGAGTTTTACTGCCCTTCCAAGCTGATTGACAGTTTCATTTCCACAATCATGTGTTCTAATCACTGTGAACTCAACAGAGTGTCATCAGTAGTAACACACAATCCAGTCATCACACAATATATCAAATCAACCACATTCCACTACTGAAATCATAGGAAAAATTCAGTTCGGTGTAACCCTCACGATGCATGCGGAAATTAATATGCAGAGGTAGATAACATTACATTACATGGTACCAAATTAGTCCGCATGCCCATCACTAACTGAAAGGCCTGCTGAGCAACTCACCGCTGGTAAAACAGAATGACAAATACAAACTGCATTTCGACACCAGAAATCAACTAAAATGCGGTGCGAACGAAAGGGTGATTTGGGTGTGCTGATAAAGCATCCCTGAACGCAGACACTATGGCATCACCGGTGCGAGCCCCATCCAGAACGATCTTCTCAAGGCGTAACAGGTGCTCCAGGCCAACTGGTACAGCGCGTTCCCCCCATGTGGAGATTTTGAGGTCTCGTAGGTTGGGCATGGCCCCCGCCTTGAACCCTAGGTAAGCCCCAACACCTTCCATAGCAGAAAATGTGAGGCTCTTCAGAACCGGGAACAGTCCCGTGCCCAATCTAACTCTTTCTTTTGGGATATTTAACGCCATGAGCCAGAGTACTACGAGGGACGGAAGCTCTCCAAGAAGATTGACATCCTGGGTTGACGCCTCCATCACACGCAGCTCTAGGATGCGAAGGCAATTTAGACCACCCATCCATACAGGAACTCTACAGAATATCCATCTAGGGGCGCTGATAAATTCCTCGAGATGCGGAAAAGGATTGGATAATGAGGCCAGCTCGTTATCTTCATAGTATAGCCACTAGTGAATTTGAGACATTTGAGGTTACGGAGCTTTCCAAGGGAGCTGGCGAAAGCATCACGTTCTGGCTTTTCCCAACCATTCACTCCGATCTGCAGTTTCCTTAGATTGGTCAGCTCTCCGAGACCCATAATAACCTTCACTGAGTTCACTTCCTTCATGGACAACCCATCACCATCTATTACCAGAGCGCAGTGATTTCATATTCCCAATACATTCACACATGAATTTTTCCATCCGAATATCAAGATATGACAACTGAGGCAATTGGGCTATATCTGAGGGGGTGCTCTTGAGCTGGGCACGAGGCATGTCCAATGTCTCCAAGTAAACAAGCCCTTCAAATTTAGCAGGGAGTTGTACGTAACATGACACTGTAACATGCAAATACCTCAACAGAAATAATTGACCAATAGCAGTGAGGTCAAGTGTAGTCTCCTGACCTTGGCTTTTTTCTTCTATTCTCAACACCCGGAGATACTTGAACAACAAAAGAGAAGGCAGGCGGGTCCAGAAAAGTGTAAATGATCGAACTTGTGATAGGCAGATATCAATAGTTGGGGCATATGTTGCTCCACGACTAGCCACAGAACTCAGAGATAACCGGCGAACCTTGTATTTATTGCAATGCAATCTTGCCATGTCATTATAATTGTACCCCACACTTACAAAGTTATCTTCATCACACCTGCTTAGGATCAAATCAAGCATCATGTCATGTACTCTGCATGACACCACCTCTTCATTGCATATCATACCAGGCTGAATCATACTTCTGTTAATAAGCTCATTGAAATAACTCCTCCCAACATCTTCTAGGTCATGCCCATCCAAATTACTGACAAGGCCTTCAGCTATCCATTGCCGAACCAGATCGTCCCTCCCGATTTCGCGGTCCTCGGGATACATACCAAAGTACAAAAAGCATGCCCGCAGATGGGCAGGAAGATGCATGTAGCTCAAGTTTAATATACTCTTCATCTCTTCCAAGGTGGGATTTGTGGCTAGCTGGGTACCCAAAGAATCCCTTATGCTCTCCCAACCCTTCCTTGACGTTTCTTTATTGGCTAATAGGCTAGCTATTGTGATAACTGCAAGTGGCAATCCATGACACTTGTTCAAAATCTCAGCCATAACTTCTTTCAGTTGGGGTAGACAATCATTTTTGGACCCAAATACTCTATTCAACAATAACATTCTTGAGTTTTGCTCACTGAGAGGTTTCATTTTGTAGATGCCCTCACCGTCATTCTGACAGGCTGCTGCAGCCACATCTTCCACTCGTGTTGTAACTACCACTCTACTTCCATTAATATCTTCTGGAAAAGCACACTTAATAGTATTCCATGTTGGTTGATCCCACACATCATCGACAACAATCAGGTACCTATTCAAATATTTGCAGAGGTTAATTACATTATAGTTGAACATAATTAAATTATGGACGAAATTATCAACATACTGGAAAAAAAGGTTCGAGCAAATACTCTTTACACAAAAATGATATAGGAACTTCTCAAAGAAGCTACGAATTATCATAATGAATGGAAAAATAACACCAAAAGCATATGACCATTTAGCACATAAGGATTGCATAGGCATTCCAGAATGTTTCTTTCAAAAGAACTCTTTATTAAAGGCATGGATGAGTACCGAAAGGTTTCCACTATACCCTAGCAAATTTTACACACTGTAAATTTTTTTACCAAAACTTACATCGATAATTCTAATGATTGTATTTCTGCCAAATAGTTTATGTATAGTGTCCATGTGTATCACAAATACACGAAACAGAAAGATAAAAACAGTCACAAATCTCGCATGCATAAATCGATCTTCAGATTAACTATTTTCACACAAAAAGGTATGAAGTGGTTGTTTAACCCTAAACGTGAATAATGCATTAAAACTTCAAACTTGTTTAGCACATATGGGTCATGACTCATGAGGGCATTACAGACCCTCTCTTCAAAAATAAAAAAAAACTCTTTTCAAGAAAGGTAGATGGGAGCAACATGTTTCTAATACCCTAGCATTTATGACACCGGATGGATATATCAATACTCCAATATGTCTTTTCTAAAAATGTATCTTTTTGCATTTTCCTCTCTATTTCTCTATCACAAAAACATAAAGAGGCAACCATCAAGCATGGATCTTGGATGCATAAAAATCAATACCAAATATATACTATCCGATTATTCAGCTCAAATCTAACACGAGTAGCGTGTGCAAATAATACCTCTTCTCTTTCAGATGTTGCCTTAGCTCTTCAATGATGTCGTCAACCTTGCGAGTGCGAGATGTATCGGGATCCCTCATCCCTAGTTTCCACTGGAAATTGTTGAGCAGCTCAGTCATATCAGGCCTCTGCGAAACTGAAAAGCATGCTTTGCAGTCGAACAGCGAGCCAATCTTGTCATACACCTGCTTGGCAAGTGTAGTTTTACCAAGACCACCGAAGCCCACAATCGACACCACCTTGAGTTTCTTTTGAGCATCCATCAAAATAGTGGCAACCTCCTCCCTTGGGCCATCAATGCCCACGAGAGTATCAGCCTCCTGGTACACCGCTCGCACTCGTGGGTCAAAAGGCACGGTGCTGGTGGTGGGCTTCCAATCATCAATATTATACCTTTGGCGCCGAGCATTTGCCTCCAAGGCAAGAGTCTTGAGCTCTTCCATCCGGTCGGCTATCCGAAGACGCTCTCGCATCTTCTTGATGCGTCGAGCAGTCTTCTTGATGAAGCCCCCCTTGGCATCGTCGGCTCGAGATTGTCGCATGAAGTCATCGATACAATTCTCCATGTCATACGACATCTCCATAACATGGTCCCTCCAATCCTTGACGGTTGGATCAATCTCATCAATGAGCTCGAGCTTCTGAAGGGCAGCGTTCATGGCGCTGAGTTCCTTCTCGAGGAATGAGGCCTGCTTCCTGACCCCTTTGAACTTCTTGTACTCGTCGCCCATGAGTGTGGTGAGCTTGCCGATGAGGGGGTTCATCACCCCGCTCGCCACGGTCACGATTCCTCCGGTCATCTCGACTGCTCTCTTGGCTCGGCGGCTGACTGGCTACAGACAGAGTGAAGCCGAGGTTAGTTGGTGCCATAAATAAAGAGATGAAAAAATTAACTGGTGGCGAGGGGTTGGGATCCTCTGCAGTGGCGAGGGGCATCTTACCTGATGTGGTGAAGGAAGGAGACAGGGAGGTCGGAGATTGCAAGACAGCGAGCCGGGGGAGAAGGAATGCGGCGGGGAGGACACAGATCCGGGTGCTCTGTCTGTGTGAAGCAAGAGTTAGTTGGTGTAAATTAAGAGATAGATAGATGCAGGCTGTGGTCGATGTGTTACCTGATCGATGTGGTGGAGGAAACAGGTCGGGAGGTTGGGGAAGGCACCTCACGGATGAAGGAGAGGAGGCGGACGGGGATTAGGCGGAGGCGAGCGAGATGAGGAGGTAGGTGCGCCGGATCCGTCCAGGGGAGGAGGCGGATCTGGCACCGGCTGGGAGTGCGGATGCACCGGCGGCTCGTGCGAGTGGCACCGGCGACGGGAGTAGCGACGAGCAACGGAGCAAGGAGGTGCGGCGGTAGCGGCGGAACCCTAGAAGAGTGGGGAGTGCTGGAAGTGAGTGAGGTCTGTGCAGAGCTCAACGACTCACGCGACGACCGGCGAAGCGGCCCGGGACTGTTCAGAGGTTGACGACGACGACTTAGACAGATATGCCCCTGCGAACCAGGCCAGCCCACAACCACACGTAACGCACGACCCAGCCCAGCCCACGAACTAAAATGAATTACAAATAAAATCGTCAACTAGCTCTGGCAAGCGATCTTCATATCTCACATGCGGTAGTAGCATCTGATTGCATGCAGGTGGTATCCGACATCAATGGAAGAACGCTATCATCTTATGCACTAGTCATAGATGAAGTTAGGGCATCGATGAATGAGTTTGTAAAAGTTAGTTTTCGTTATGAGTGTAGGGAAGCAAACCTTGAAGCACACGCCATTGCCAAGGCGGCTTCAGCTTTCCCTCCAGGTCGCCGGTTGTGGCTAGGGATTCTACCAGACATTGCTTGTATTGCTTCGGCTTTGAACGTTGAATAAATCCCTAGTTCACCTAAAAAAACATAAGTCAACTAAATAAAATCACGTAAGCACATACTGCAGTGCATACCTTGCTAAAAAAAGTTACTGCGGTGTACTCCCTTTCACTGAGATTCCACCGTCTTTCATGTAGACACCAAAATATTAACCTTTCTTTACAGTCATTTCAGTTGTGCATAAGAATTCAAATATTTTTATTTTTATTTTAAATACTCTTTCGAATTTTAAGTGAAAGTTTGCTGAACTACAAACCTAGTTCCCTGAAATTTAGTAATATCAGTAGGTGCTGAAATATTTCTGAAAGTGAAATTTAAAACCACGGGTGTACCATAATTTATTTTTTCTTGAGAAAGATGTACGGTAGGTCCCATGGTTCCTTCCTTGGCTTAGCTATTTTCTGCTCTTGATCCTGCATTGGTCTTTGGTTCGGCCATATTATTTGCGCTTTATAAATATTTTACTTCTTGCGGAAGCAAACCTATGCCTCCACTCAAATTCTCAACTAGGGTTCTAACAACAGTGTCGAGATACCGGCGTCGCGGATCTATTCTATGCTAGTTATACCTCCGAGTTAAGTGAGATACCGCCGTCGTGGATCTATTGTACCTTCAGCTTCAGGCTGATATATCATGTATGTACACCTGCACACTTCAGTCTTAGAGAGATCAATTAACATAGACACAAGGCTGCCCAATTTGATCAAGTCCCAGTTCTTGAAATTACTTCCATCACACACATCTGCAGTTGTTGTGTATCATGTATACATAATTAACCCCAACCAAGCTGCTACTACATCAGAAGTTAATCACATGGGTACACTAAATGTTAGTGCTAATAAGAAGCTTTTCACCAACAAATCAAATACTACTTATCAAGTCAGATAAGTCAGAAACACAACAGTCATATTTCCTCATAAACTGAATTAGAACTGCCATGTTCAATTGCAGTTGAATTTTCATAACTGACTGGCATGAAACACTATTTTTGCCTTTCGGTAACTTAACACCCGCCAAAGTCTGAACTTTTCTTCAGCAATGCAAACCAATGCAAAGTCTAGCGTACAATGCATTACAAACTTAGCATACTACCACATCAACTGGTTATATCAGCATGATGCCGCACAAAATGTCTTCAGGATGACTAAAAAAATGTGCACTAACCAACCACACAGACCACATCTTGTGATAATATATCTCCTTTTTTTGTATTATACTTTCCATAGCCGGGTTTTTCTTTTTTTGTTGTGTTTTTTTGGACTTGTTTATTTCTTTTGTTTTTTTCTGTTTCTTTTCTTTCTTATTATTTCCGTTTTTCTTTACTTTTTTTTAAAATGCACAATTTTCTCAAGTTGATAAACTTTTTTCAATTTTGGTGCATTTTTCTCAAAATCGACGGACTTTTTTTCAAACCAATGAAAATTTTCAGTTAATTTTTTTTAAATACGATGAATTTTTTAAAAATTTCGTGAAATTTTATAAAAAATCAATAATCTTTTTCTAAAATTTGATAACTTTTTAAAATTCAACAAAATGTTTTCAAATTTGATGAACTTTTTTAAAAAAATTCATGAACTTTTTAAAATCAATGAACTTTTTTTCAAATTTATGAACTTTTTAAAAAATCTGTGAAATTTTTTCAATTCACATTTTCCCCTTTTTTGAGTTTGTTTTCGTTTATATTTTTCTTTTCAAATGCTATCTAGCGAACCATGGGGAAATAAAATGCCAAATCTACATGGGCTGGCCCATCATAGTAGGCGAGTGGGTGCCATGGAGTTTCCGTGGTGCTTGAAGCGTCTGGTCTGGCTCGACCTACGATGGCGCGTGCATGTGACATGCGCGTGAATGGTCTGTTGCCTTGCAGGGGCACAACTTGGTCCTCCTGTCGCACTTGCGTCGCCACCGTAGTCCACTCCATCCCGAACACGGATGTGCACTGACGAAAGGGAGAGCAGGTCTCAGAAATATCTCACCCTTGTGATCCTGCACCAGGGGAGGGCGAATATGGTTTTTGGGAAGCGCTCCGCACGACTGCTCAAAATCGTCAAGACAGGACGTCTTCCACCAAGTTTTGGCGCTGCTATGCGCCGTCGTCACCACCAACATCATCATCAATAACATCGCCGCCCTACAACAGCCACAACTACTTCATCCAGGAACGATCAGTACATGCACCGTGATCTTTTCGTGTCTCTAATTATGATAATGTTGCATGTGTGATGGTGTTGTTTCGGTCATCTAGTATGCTAGAGCTTTACATGCTAATTAGTCATGAATTATTTAATAAAATTAATCATGAATTTTCCTAATATTCCAGCAGTCGCAAGGCTTGTCCATGATCTCATCAAAGTCAGGACCGCCTTGCTCGTTCTTATTCTGCGAGTGGAAGTGCCGTGGTGTCCACGCCATGACAGGTCATCATTGTTTTCTGCTTGGCTACCCACGCTTCCTCGCCAAATCACACATCAGACGAGGTCATAGAGAAGCTTCACCGAAAAAGGCTTTCGGCCCGCTTTATAAATAAAGCAAACCGCCACAAAGCACCGAGTACACAAAGGTTCACACCACACACACCCAAGTCTCACAACAAGAAGTACAAGAGGTTTCGCTGAGGGCACAGCTCAACAAGCCCAAAGAAA